CCTTTTCTTTTCCCCCTCCATTGCCATCCCCCTGCAAATCTCAAACTCAAGACTGAGGGAGGCTGGGAGCCAACTTCTGCTTTCAGGGTTAAACCTGGGAATCATTCCCCTGGCTTCAAATTTATGCTGGTGCAATGAAGATGAGAATTTAGCTTTCTGTACTGTTGTCAACGGGGGAAAATAGAGTGCCTGTAAGACTGTATCCATGGAAACCATCCTCCTGCAATAGTGGGTAAAGCAGCAAATCGATTTCTTCAGTTTTAAAATGAAACAGATTTAACAACATTATATAGTTCATCTGCTGTGTAGAGAGATCGTCTGGGCCGATAACTGTGTGGAAAAACCCTTCTCTAGCAAATAAGCTGGCAAGAGCATTCTTCCTCCTGGTAGAACTGTGATTTGGGGTAGAGTAAGCATTGATGACAAAGTCCCATGAAGACAGTACAGTGAGACAGAGCCAAGTCCAGAAGCAACAGTGTTAAATGAAGGAGAAAATTGTTTAATTTAGCATTTAGCCCAAGTATCTGGGCACACGGTGACTAACACTCAAGTGTATTAGGAAAGGCAGTGGCCTGTCACCTCTGTCTCCCTGCTCCTTGCTCCTGTGGTACCACATGTGACAGAGAGTACGTTTGTACTGTGGGGCATTTCTCTGAAGAGGAGTGTGTGGGTATGTGCTGCTGTGTGTGTGTCTGGCTGCTGGGCTGTCAGATGAGATTTCAGTGTCTGCTTCAGTGCAAGATGCTCTGCAGCTCACATTATAAAGGTGTATATTTCAGGCCAGAGGCATCTCCAATTCAGAAAATGTGCTGGTTGTCTCTGCACTTTATTGTTTTTACATTTCATCCCATGTGACTTGAGAGAGGACCTCTTTGCTGTGCCGTGGAGGGAGCGTGGAGATTCATGGGTTTCTTAACCAGGCTTCAAATGTGTCACCATACTCCTTCACTGCTGTGTGCAGAGGAATTCTGCCTTTATTTTTTCACCTGTTAAGGCATCTGTCTGGCCATTTTGAGAAATAATACCATAATTTATCAGGTAATTGCCTATATTATGAGACTTCATTCTGCTTTTCCTTTTTATCAAATCCAAATAGTGCAGTCTGCCTTCTCTATACCTGGCAGATAAAGAAATATCTGTCTGGGAGAAGTGCAGCCTTATTTAAGACAGAGGGAATGAAGCTGAACCAGGAGGGAATAAAAAGCATTACAGAAATGGCCTCGACTGGGAGTAGCCCTTCAGTTGGTGAGGAGCAGATACACAGTCCTCTGTCACTTTGCAGAGTCTGGGCTGTAATTGATCTGCCTCTGAATCTCAGTGCCTTGATAACAGCAATCACATTATCATACTGTTTTCTTTTTGTCTACAGCTGTCCTATCTATTATGGCAATCCCTCTTTGATTGACAGTTGTTTGTTTTCTTCTGACCTGAGGGCAAGCTTATTGCAATGCACTCCTTTTAGTACTGTCACTGAAACATCCAAAAGCTCCAACTGGTGCATAAGGTGGCAGCTCAGCATTTGAATGAAGGAGCACATATTGCTGGGAGCACACGTGGCTTTCGTTGCTCTGCCACATCTACCAGTTAATGGAAGACACAGCTCCAACTACTTTAAGTGGTAGAAATGGCTTAGGGGTCCAAAACAGCCCTGTGTGCTTTGTTCTACCTGTGTCCAGTTGCTGTGGCATGCAGCGTTGTCTGTCTGTTCAGGCAGTTCCAGAGATTTTCGTGGTCGGGAAGAGACACCCCAGCTCACTGCTCTAAGACAGTGTTCCCTTGTTGAGGATGAAGAGTTTTCTGCTGGAAGACATCTGGTGGAAGAGCACAAACTTCTGCAGCTTGGTTTCTGTGGTCCATGAACATACAGATCTAGGAGTGCTCCCCGTGTTCAGGGGTGGGCTGCGTTCACTTCCCAAGCCCTAGCTTTTTCATGCTGAAGAATGGAAGGGATGCCTTTCGTTGTGAAGGGTGGAAATTACCAGTAGGAAGTGCATAACCCTTCCACATGCCTGTGTTAGGATGCCGTTTGTCACTGGGTTTCCTTTAGCAGCAGGGTTCAGATTCCTGGAAAGCCCAGATAGGAGGCATTTGCAAATTTCTGTGTAAAATGAACAGAGAAACAGAATGGGAGCTGGGCCTGGCACTGAGTGCAGCGTTGTTCCTCACAGCTGTGTGTCCGTGGTCAGCAGGGTGGGGAAGCCCCAGAGACCAGGCACGGCTCAGAGGAACCCTCCACACTAGTTGGAGCAGAGAGAATGGGCTCGTTTGTTGCTGTGGGTACTGGGACACATGGAGATGGGGTGACAAAACATGGAGATTTTAATGGCTTTTGATATCAGCTTTTCTCTTCCTCATGATAAACGACAAGAAAGTTGACCTTCCCAGCTCCTCCAGGCCTGGGAGTCTCTGGGAGAAGCAGGGGCTGCACTGGCACTGCTTATGCAGCATTTGTTCTGAGGGACGAAGCAGGAGCCACCTCTGGATCTGTCACTTCTCTCACAGCTCCCAAGTGTAGCATTTTAAAACAGCAAACCTTGGGCTGCTCTTCATGAAAAAGCTCTTGGGGTTTGCACAGTCATGCCTGGTGTGGGAGTGTTTCTGATGATGTCTGTCTCCATGGAACCTGAGGTGACGCCACGTTTGCACGTTGCCTCTTACACTACCACCCCTGTGATGAAGGCAAAGATCCTGAGTCACTGTCCAAAAACTCCAACACTTTGGGCAAGCCTGGAGGCCAGCTGGCAACGTGGGCAGGAGAGAAGATGCTGGGCAGGAAAACTCAGTCCCATGGCTGGGTTTATAGCTGTCACCACAGCCAGTTCCTCTAACCACGTTAAATGCCATTTTAATCATTGTCTAAATTATTTTTAGGTAAGAAATTGGAAGAAACAGCAAGCCTGTAGTGCAATGATTCCTTGAGACCATTCCTCAGAGTCACTTTATGAATATGCAAATTTTAAAGTGCCATTCATTTTACTGTTAGAGAAGCTGAACAGTCAGCTGTGACTCTTCTCCAGCCATGACTCCCTTCTCTGTTTCTACCAGAAACCGACTTCTCAAAAGTAGAATCCCTTTGCATTCCTAACCTGTGGAGGCAGGAATATTCTCAGCAGTACCATGTGGATTAATATTCACAACTGGCTGAAAATGCCAGGCCAATGCATAAATCAGTCTGCTGCTGTAACCCTGAAAAGCTTCTTACCTGTGCTGGCTGTGACCACAAACCTTTCCTTGCCTGTACAGAATGTGTAATTTCAGAAATAACCTAAAAGAGGCAAGTAGTGCTAAGGACTATGGCAAGTCCCTGAGTGGCAAGTTTATTTCTCTTTATTTTATGTATTTATTATTTATTTATTTATTATTTTGTTTGTATATTCATTGTTTATTTCACTGGAGGAAGACCTAGTTCACTGATGAATAAGTTATAGCTAATGTGTTAGTGCAGGGTATTGAAAGTCTGACAGTCTCCTGCCCTTAACTTCATGCAGACCCCTGGAAACTGCCCCTCCCTGCAAGGGGAGACTCCTTAGTGAGGGAAGGCACTTTCACAAAGCTGTAGATAGCAAAGGGAGTGCCTGAACATGCCAAGACTCAGAAGCATGAGGGTGCTTTTGCCTCCTGCAGAGAAACACTGCCCTTTTTAGTTTGTGGTGCCCAAGCAGCCTTTAGAGAGGATGAGGGAGCAGTCACACTGCTGTGAGCAGTAACAGCCAGAGAAGTGTTGTGTTCCCCAGGGCCCTCTGTTCAATAATGAGCTGCTCTTTAATTCTCTGTCCTGGCCCTTGCTGCAGCCTCCTCTCCATCTTCCACCACCTCCAAAGGCTCCTTCTCAGAGTGCCAGGGCTGGGCAGAGTCCAGCCCATCTGTCAGGTTTGGCAGGGCACAGAACAGAGAATTTACACAAGTTCTGTGGTACAGTGGCTTCCTCCCAGCAGCTGGAGCACAGAGGATTCCTCACTGGCAGGGGGCTGGAGCACTCTGTACAGGTGGCCCCTGCTCTGGCCTAAGGCCTTGTGTGACAGGCAAGTCTGGACCAGCACAGTGCCTGCACACTTGATCAGCTTTTCCTGTTTGACAGCAGAGGTGTTTCTTGCCCTGTGTCAGACACCAAATTCTGGCTCTCCCTATGCTATGTAGGTGTGGCTCAGGGATTTTCAAACGCTTGAAGTGCAGCACAGCCCCTATAAACCCTCTCTTGAGAAGCCTGTCAAGCCTTGCACGTGGAGCATGCCTTGGCTTCAGCTCTTGCTCTGCCACAGTGCAGTTTGGCCAGAGACCAGCTGCACTTGCTGGAGGGACTTAAGGCTTGCAAGAAGGAGGAACATCCTTTGGGTACAATTAGCAGCAGCATAGTATTGTGGGCTCTCCCTTGTGCCTGTGGGCACCTCCATGTGTATGCAACTGCAGGACAGGGTGTGTCTGGCTGTCCTGTGACCTAACCTTGCAGATCTCTGGCTTTCTCATGTGACCCCAAGCACAGCAGCTCACATATGGGGACTCCAGTAGAGAGCTCTATCTAACATCCAGTTATCACTACAGAGTGGAAGCAGGGCATAATTTTTATGCTGTCCTGATGTAGCAGGAGGATTTAATGACCTGGCAGTGAGGAATCTGAGCTGAATGCCACCAGCAGGCTGTGGCCAGGCAGCATCCATTGTGGTGTTCCAAATGTGGCAGAGCCTCGAGTGGGAGAAGGGAAAAAACTTCCTTGCTTCAGGTGGTGTGAACACTGCAGCACCTGGAACATGGGGCTTCAACTTCTGCAGGGGACTTGTGAGGCTCAGTGAATGTGATACCTGCCATACATGTGTAATTTCAATTCTGGTTACTCCTAACTACCACTCTGAAGGGAAGGTTAAGAACGACAAAACTGGAAAACGGGGAAGCCCTGAGTGTATGCCAGACCCCACTGCCAGAGCTGTGAAAAGGGAGCAGACGTTCCTTAGTTCCCCTTTCACTTCAGCCGTCCCATAGGCACTCACCTTCTCAGGGCAGGTGTGTTACTGGGGGCTCCTCCCTGGCACTGCGGTGTCCGGGCTCGCTGCCTCTGGAGGAGGGGGCAGAGGGGACAGGCCTCTGCAGGGATTCTCCACGTGCCCCCACGGCCCTGGCCTGCACTGCTCGGCCTCCGTGGGCTGCAGCGAGTCGGGCAGAGAGGTGGTGGGGCTGGATGGAGCTTGGGAGAAGGTAGCAGGTATGTCTGAGCAGACAGAGGTAAAGAGAGGTAAAAAGGTTGGTCTGCTAAGAGCCGTAGCAGGGGCAGAATCAGTGGGACTGAGGTCATATGCAAAGTCTTTTAAATAGGAGAAGGCTTGATTGTTTAGCTGGGCATAGTCAAAATTTATCTTGCTTCTAGTGACCTCATCTAGGATTTTTGCTCTACTTTCCTGATCTTCAGAGCAAATTTGCTGCCCATTTTGCTTCAGATGGTACAGGCTGCTGGGCTGGAAACGTGTCTCATAGTTGTAGTGGTTTGTGCTGGCAATACTGGAGTATTTTGGACTTGGGGCAATGTAGCTGCATTCATTTTGCAACAATAATTTGTTGTTGCACTGAGCCATCTTACGGATGATGTTGTTCATTTCGTTCCCAACGTGTCTGTCCTCCAGGTGCTTGTTCTCATAGCTGATCTGTAAGGATGCCACTTGGGTTACACAGTGCTCCAGGAGCTGCACTATGTCAGTGCTGCTCTCTGTTGGCGTGGGGCTGATGTAGCTCTGGAAGCCTCTGAGGGCAAGAGGCCGTGCTGGTTTGTCACAGGAAGCAGAGGCAGGGTGATACATCGGTTTTTTCCTGTCCTCCCTCTCAAGGGGATCCAAGAGTGATGTTGCAGCAGTCTTGTAGGAGTAACACGATTCTACTTCATGATTATCATCTAATGAAGTGTTTTCAGAGCTCTGGGAGCCACTCTCTCTGCTCAGCTTTTCTGGCAGTGGGTTTTTATCTCTGGATGTCTCACGTCCTTCTAAAGTTGTTGCCCTCTCCTTCTCAGCTGAAGCTGTCTGCAGATTGTCTCCATTAGCCTGTGATTGTGGTGCATAACTTGATGCTCTCGTGGTTTCAACAGTCTCAGGCACTGTAGATGAATCCTTGTGGTGGGTCCCTTCCCATCCTTGGACATCCAAATTAGAAGTGTTAGGGCCAGAGTCCAGGCTATGGTCTCTTTCAGCAACGTTTACTGAAGAGGCCTGGGTTGCACATTTGCTTTCATCCAAAGACACACATAAGTTAAATGGATTAGATTCTTCCTTGCTTGGCTTCTCCTGCTGGGCTCCTGTGCTCACTTTCTGCTCTGGACAGGGGCTGGCTGGGACTGATGAATCGTTAGACTTCTCTGGCTGTGACTGAGGACTCTGAAGAGAGTCAGGGGAGGAGACGAGTCCCGAGTGTTTTCGCAGCCAGTTTATGATCCCCATGGTCAGTGAAAGCTCAGTGTCACAGAGCTTTAGCAAACATTCTTTGCCTTTCCACGTGCTGTGGAAAAAACCTTGGCTGATAATGTCTAGAGTTGGCTGGGAAGCCATGTTCTCCTCAGCTCCAACATGAAAGCTGTAAATGGACAAAGGGATTTCAATGGCTTGCTCTGAAGTGCTTTCAGATGTGCACAAGTCGTCATCTAGGACTGGGTTTATTTTAACTTCATTTGGGTCATAGAAGAGCTCATAAAGGGCATCTCCACTGTAGCTGTCTCTTGGAAATCTACCTGGGACCCCAGGGGTCTGAGCTTCCTTCAGTTCATCGTCCTGGCCAGGAGAGAATGAATCATAGTAGCCTTCATCACTTGTGGATGTGGATTCCTGGTTGTCACTTTTCGGCGTTCCTGTTTCTGCGGAGCTTTCTTTGGAATTGTCACCATCTTTATCAGGTGCCACCTGGGGGTGTGTCACAGGTGCAGCAGCCTGGCTTCTACCCTTTTCCACGTCAGGACTGGGTGTCTTCCGCAGCTTCTTCTCAAACAGAGCACTCTGGTGCAGCCTCACTGATCTGTTGATGTTGTCCCAGAACTTTGCGAATTCCGCCGTCTCGTTCTGGCCGGGGGAGGCGAGCTGCTCCACGCCCCCTTGGAAGGAGCCCATCCCAGGGCTGTCTTTGGGCTTGCTTCGCCTCAGCAGGGCCTCTTTGCTCTCCAGCTCCAGGTGAGCAGAGCTCTCATCAGCAAAGATTTCCCCACAGCCGGTGAGGGAGTCGAAGCTCTTCAGGGAGGCGACATCTTCGCAGAGGGCGCTGCAGCAGTCAAAGGAGGAGTCAGACTGCAGTTCGCTGTCTGAGCAGTCTTGTGACAAGCAGTCAGCTGCAAAGGCTTCTCCGGGCCTGAAGAGGTACTTTGCCAGGCGCCCAGGCAGCTCGCTCTTGCAGCCTGCAGAGGACAGATTCTTGTCCTTCTCAACCAGGAACGTGAGGCTGTCTGCTTTATTTTTTTTAATGTGGAATATATCTCTGAGCCCTTTCTTAGATCTCTTGAGGGAAATCCTCTTCCTGGGAATGGTTTTTGCGACAGCTGGTACAAAAGGCATTTGTGGCACAAAGTTCCTGTAATCAATCATCTGACTGCTGCAGGCAGACTGGCTGGGGCTGACCACACACTCTTTTTTGCTGCTGGAGCTGGACACCCCTGAAAAGCTGATGCTGTTGACGAGCCGTCCTTTCCCTTTTCCAGGCAGACTCTCCTCACAAGCCCTGCTGCTGGGGCTGCACTGCTCGGCTCTGTCTGCCTCGGCAACGCAGTCGTGGGTTTTACTCTTCCTTACAAGTTTGTAGGAGGACCCAGATGATTTTTCCACGCTGTGGTCACCAGCTCCATTCCTTGCTGCTCTGGTAGAAAATCTGTAGTTCTTGTGCGTGGCCAAACATGCCAGCTGGACTTCAGCTACACTTGGGTTTCCCTCCAGAGCTGCCTTCTTGTCTTTCCCCATCTCATCTTTGTGGATAGGAACTGTGTGTGCTGGTGGCACTTTCTCGTGTTGCACACTGGATTTTATGAAGGTCTTTCCTCTCTTGAGCTCCATACTGCTTTCTCACATCTGTTTCTGTAATGAAAGCAGCAGGATAAAAATATTGTGAGGTTGGTGGCTAGCACTTGGTAAACGTTGACAGCAGCTGGAGAACAAGGGGACAGATATTAAGCATTAAACAGTTGGGTTTTTCACCAGAAACTTCCATCACTGAGTCATGATATTGCATGAGAAACAGGACAAGAGAAAATGAAGGGATGTTGGCAATGGCTGGAAGATCCAGCAGCAAGGAGAAGGCAGTACACATTACAGCTTGGTGACTGAGGCTCAGAGAACATTTTGTCTGTTAAAAATGAGGGGGGCTGGATTTAGGAGTATGACTCCAAGGTGGCTTTTAACAAGACAGAGGTCCTGTTCTGAAAGTAGAAGAGGCATCAAGGGAAGGCAGTGCCTGAGGAACTTTAATACACAAGTGTGTGCAGCAGGGAGGCAGCAGTTCATAGATCTGGGCCTTTGAGGAGGATGAAGAGCTCAGGGTGGGAAAACTCCTGAGAAAATAGATCAAACGTTTGACACATGTTGCTCCCTTTATATTAAAATAAGCAAACCTTGGTATCACCCTGGGAAGCATGCTGAAACTGAATTACTGGCTTTGCTTCCTCCTGAGTATAATGTATCATTTTCTGCACTATTAGTTTTAATATAAAAAGTCAAAAATGCCACACTGAAAATCCCTGTTAATTATGGGAGGAATTTTGTTTCCGATATGCAAAGAGCAGCGTAGGACACTGAGGCATTGCCACATTCAATCTGCACTCTCCATTGATTAGTTATTTCTAAAAATACTCTGTTATCTGTTTCAATGCCAATTTTGGTCTCTGGTTTAGTATTGAACCTATTTCACGTCTTCGTGCATCTAATTAGCCATTAATTATTTTAGCCATGACACTTTGAGTTTTCCAGCACTTATTTCATGGACGTTCTGATCCTCTCCTGCCTTGTATCAACTCAGCAGGTACTGAGTAAGTGAATGGACTTACACAAAGGTAGGTCAGGGAAGAAGCAAGCACTTCCTAAACACTGCTAGAGAAAGCAGATTTGGCAGTCTGCATTGGGGTGGGTACTGCAGAACATTCTTAACGAAAGCCAGTGAACATTTTACTACACTGTCAGGTATCTGGAGTTCACTGATGCTGCAGGAGACTTGTTTTACATATTCAGAAATAGGTCACTGGGACACAGTTACACTCCTCTTCTGAAAAGCAAAATATGATTGAGAAAAACTCGGTGTGCAGACCTGCAGCAGAGCTGTGAGGGTGATCAGAAAGGGCTGACACAGGACTGGTTGTACCAGCTCAGCCCTTTGCAGCTGTAGGAGCAGGCACTGTGTCCCTCTGGGAAGTCCTGCTGCTGCACAGGGCTGACGCAGGACTGGTTGTTCATAGCCCAAAATAAAGTGCCTGCCAGCTCAGCCCTTTGCAGCTGTAGGAGCAGGCACTGTGTCCCTCTGGGAAGTCCTGCTGCTGCACAGCTCCACAGAGGTCTGGGGCATGCAAATGCTGGTATTATAACAACGTTATGTAGGGCTCTCAGGAGTCCCACTGCTGTTTCTGCCACTCTGAGTATTAAGCAAGGGTCATTTTTGTAGGAAATGGCACACTTGGGAAGCTTTTCTGTAGATGTATTAAGAAGGCTCTTAGAGGTTGTTTTATTGTCAAGTATGAAACGTTAAAGCTAAGAATTCAGGATGTTGTTAGATGATCTTTGGCATAAAGAAATCTTTGATCTGAATTGTATCTCCTTGATAAGAAACACAATGGACTTTTGGTAACTGGGTCTAGAAACTTCAAGGCTTGTTCTTTTTTTTATAGATCAGGTCAACAGTTTTAACAGGAAAGCCCACATAGCCTAAATAACATCTGTACTGAGAATATATGTAGTGTAGTAACCTCAGACACCCTGGCAGTAGCCTGTGCTACCTTTTCAGTTTCCTCTGATGAGGAAAAGAATAAGTTAGGTGTTGTCTGGTTTTTGTGAGGGGTTTTTTGTTTGTCTGGTTGGTTGGGGTTTTTTTACTATAGATATAATCACCAGCTTGTTTAATGTCTCTGTTTAATCCCATATATTATTTTTCACATTTTCCCCCAGGATTCACACCAGACTAATTAGTATCTATTTCATTGTGTCATCCTGCTTATTCTAACACTGGCACAGCTTTGGGAATCTTCCCCATTAAAAATGTTATTAAAAATGGACACCAAGAAGGGGAAGATCTCCTCAGTCACCTCTCTGAGGGCCCTTAAGGGCAGACTGCCAGAGTCTGCAGATTTTAAAAAAACTCTTCATCTCAGATGCTGTTATGTAACTTCCCATACTATGAGTTCCTCTTCATCCTCATACAATATGAATTATTAATGAGCTTCCTTCCAAATATAGAACAGAAATATTTATTCAATGCCACCCTCTTGCTGTATCTATTAATACTTTTAGCACTTTTGGTTGTATTGGACTATGCAATGATACCTATTTTTTCTCTCACTGGGGACACAAGTTATGTCTCTAACCCCAGAAGCTGCACCAGAGAAGTTAGAAAGAGATTCAGGTGCTGTAAGAGAAGGTTGCCTTCCAGTGGTTATGAAAAGCTAATCCAAATTTTACAAAAAATCATTCTAGGCATTTTAAAAACAGTGCATCTTCTGTGGGATTTCCTGACCCATGCACTCAGCTTCTCTATTGCCCATCTCTGCTCCCTTTTAATTACTTGGATCTCACTTGCAGTGTCTCTCTTCTCCCACAGGGATATATGGGGGACTAATTTCCACCTTTGCAAAGGAAATATATTTTGCAATTAAAAATCACTGTGAAGGACAGAAACCTGTGGAAAGTAGCAGGCAGTCTATGAAGGCTGAGTTCTGTTTTCAACAGGCTCTGGATGTTTTCTTCATTAATGTTGATCTCTTTTATTAATATCTGTGACATTAATTATGTTTAATGTATGGAACACAGGTTTAAATAGAACATGGGACATGTTAAAATAGAGAGCATCCTTATACTGGGCTATATCTTGTTACTGGACTACAGTCTTACACAGGACTACAGTTTAATTTTCATTTTCAATGCCCTTAGGTGCAGGAGCATGGAGACTTCTGTGTACAGTAAACAGCACTTTTTTCTGCCTGGATCATGCCAGCTGCTCACTTGCAGCATTTCACAAGTGTCTAACCAGGCAACTAGATCCAGATTTTGGGCAAAGTCTATGATGGAAATAAGGTTTGAAATAAGGTTTTGATTTAAACTTGAATAGTATTGCTCATAAAATGCAGGGATACTTCATGCTTAAATTCACACCATCTGTGCAGGTTGTCTGGCAGCCTTTTCATAAAGACAGAAGGTTTGTTGTGTATGTGATTTGTCTAAAAGCAGAGTTTTAGACTGGGAAGGTGAATGTATTCCTGTGGGCTGAGGAGACTTGTTTTGGGACAGTCAGAGCAATTTCTTATAGTTCTAGGTTAGGAGAACCTGAACAAAACTGAGTTAGGTAACTGTTCTGGTTAATGACAGCCATATTCTGATGTCCTAAATTCTACCTAAGCCCAGGTCAACAGACGAGGAAGACAAAGAGGGGTGCAGTGGAGCTGGACTGGGTGTTTGTTAGGGAGCAGGAGGAGGGTGGGTGGAGGCAGAAACTGTCCAAGTCTGGCCCTTGTCATGTGGGTCAGGGGAGAAGGGATCACACTTGCCTCTGCCCATGGCCCAGAGCTCTCTGCCAGGCTGAGCCATCTACAACTCTTCCTCTCTGGGGGAATGGGGGAAGATTTGCTTTGGGTTTTGGGCTGATGTCAAAGTTATTACCTGATTTCTTAATAGCTTATCTCACAGTGGAAATTTTGTTTAGGTTATCTTCAAAGAAAAGGTAAAACAGATTGTGTTTTAATGTGTCAGTACCTTAAAAATCAGCCCTCTTGGATGTAACTCTAGGAAGACCATCCTACCAGCCAAGTGGAGTGTATCTGATTCAGGGAGGTTTGGTGCATAGAAATAATAGTATCACAAAGAGGAAATGTAGATGAGCTCTCAGGACTCAGCAAGTTAGGCTCAAAAATACTTTTACTTAAGTAGGAAAAAATACAATTAAGGTTAATTTATTCCAAAATCTTATCAGCTGTCTGGCTTGGACACCTTTTCTTGCTTGTTTGATGTGTAATTTACATATAATTGTCTCTCTTGCAGATAGTAATAAGCAAAGTTCAGAATACAGGGGTTGTTTTGCAGGGGAGATAGGAGTGCTCTTTCTGTTCCTTTACATTTAGATCATTCTTAAAATGGGCAGGGTGTGGAGATAGTGCTGTGCTCCTTCTTCCTCAGCAGAATTCTGGGTGCCACTTGGAGTCTTAATCTGACCTCCCTCCAAGCATTTCCCTTTATTAAATGTAACAGATGATAAACATTGCATAGTCTTTTTTTTTTTTTTTTCATTTAAGAAAGAAGGAAAAAAACTCTATTTGGACTGCTTTTATGTTTTAAGATACAAGTCTGGAGTGAGTCCAAAATCCCTTTTCCACAAGTGGCTTCATATCAATCCGACTTAACATCCTGAGTATGAGTTACCTTTGAAAATGTTAGCCCTGCTTTGTCAACCAAAATGGTAGCTTAACTAAATTTCCTGGAAATGTATTTCTGGTTTGGCTATCTGGACATGCATTATGCTTAAAATGGATGCACTTGAAGATGAGGTTAAATCCAAACTATTTATCAAGAAATTGTGTAATGGGAAGGGGAAAAAGAACGGAGCAGTGGGGGAGCCTCTCCCTTCCTATGGCTGGTTAACCTCAGGAGGATTCTTGCTGGGCACCCGTTGGAGGTCCTAAAATGCAAAAAAGCAAGTGTGGGGTGGCAGGAGCCACGGTGACTTTTAAAGGCAGTGGACAATACTGGTTTTTAATGCTCAGGATCTAATCAATTAGCAATGCAGAAAGTGCAGCTGGTGCTCCCAGGAAAGTGCAGGGGGTTATTTTGGGAATAAGATTGGTTATCTATGGTCAAAAACATTAACT